TGCCTTTGGCCGTTTTAAACTCGTTTAAATTACTCCATGTATTCTCTCTTAAGTCGCCACTAGTATTCAGCTTCACCATTTAACATGAAAACTGCAAGATGGACTTTTTGTTCTTCGGTCAGATCTAGTATAAAGAAGAGTTTTTCTATTTGTAGGAAGGCTTCGGCTACTAAAGGATCAGAACCACTTTAAAGTATTGGGGGTTAAGTTTCCTAAATTCTACTATATTATGGGAGATAAACCAATCTGTGTTTCGAAATTCAGGGGTAGGGGACGGACAAGGGTTGGCCTGGTTCTATCTTACGGCTGCAATTAATCCTTGAATAGCTCGAAAAAGTTCCATAAATTCAGCCCTGATCGGATGATCTAGGGCTTTAGGTCGTTCAATACATTCTATGGATGGTCTTCCCGCATCATTCCTACAAAAGAAATGAAGACACGAGTTGGAGGTTTAATTTTTGAAAAGATGACGTATTTCTTCCCTAGGTGCTCTAAAAGGTTTATCTACCCTAGATCTCAGTGCAAGGGATTTGTTTCACGAAACTCTGTTCTAATACCATCTGTGACATCCCAAGTACTAATTAAGGAAAATGAGAGTCATATACAAATTCAGAATAACGAGTGCACGATAAAATTTATGTAGCAGAATCAAATCATAACAAATCTCTTACAAATATATATAATGTTCCAAATAGATATATAAACCGATGCCATAAGTGGCTACAAAATATAAAAGATAAGGGTCACTTCTTTCACTATGTTACTGGATTCATCAGAGTGTGAGAACAGTCATGCACTCAGACTTGTGGATCCATGGGATCCTCATAGACTTCCAGGGGTAGGTCTATCTGTGGTTCCTCATTTACTTCCTCATCTGGGGGGTGGGACATTGAAAAGAGTAAGTTTTATATGTTCAGTAAGGAAAATAGTATTAAATTAATATCATAAGATTTTAAAAGTTCATTATTTGATCTTACCGTTTAGCTTCCTCATTTACGTATCTCACCATTATGAAAATTATTTGTTTGAATACAAAAATGGTACGTTAACATAGAAGATCAAATATACATCATGCTAGATAATAGAGAAAATCAAATAAATCATAAAATGCACAGATTTTTTGTGTCATACTTCGCGAAGTCGTTACAAACTTCCATCTCTGAAGGCATATACAGATTTCCAACTACCTAAGTGGAATAACCAGATTAGATGCAGATACGGTAATTTGCTCAGACCCACTTCCAGCTGGCCAAACCATGGTACAATCTATGACTACGGCCGTACCAACTATAGTGACCCTAATAAATATCTACAGTCATGATATTACTTAGTCACGGGTGACCCCTAAAGATAGTGCGATAATACTCTCGTTAGAGGGCATGCCATCATCCACTGGAAGCGATCCTCTTACGTCTTTCCAGACCAAATAGGTGAGGGAGAAATAGATATCTCGAAGGGCAAGGAGAACAGAGACCCCTTAGAGATAAAAAGTTTAACGAGACATTTGATACAATATGCATGTCAGTACAGATACACTTCGGACCATACAGGCTTCATTCCACTTTTCTCTTTTTCTTTTCTTTTTTACTTTTACTATTACAAGTTACATATTATATTTATTAATGCAAATTCATCAAGTGTCTATAATTCACATAACATCTTGAAAACTAGAACAATTCGACTCATATGAATAGAAAGACATACAAAATAGGCAAAATAACAATCATATTAAATTTACTTATCTAAAAATACTCCTTAAGACGTCGAAATTAATACTAGATTTCTTACCAAAACCTTGATGATTTCCTCTTCACTGTTTTCTTTTCTTTGTCTTCTTCTCTCACTAATCTATTATCTCTCTCTCTCTCTAAACCTTTAAAAAATGAAAGAAATAGAAGTGTGGAGAGGGAGGAAAAAGGGCAATTTATAGAATTTCAGCATTGTTGGATTCACGATAAGTGCGAAATCCAGTGAAGAGAGAGGAGAAAAAGATGTTCGGTATAAAAAATAAGGAAGGAAGACCTCCTCCACCAGTGACGGTAACATGCCACCCAAGGCAGCACCCGGCACTGCCCGTGATGGCAGTGCTCCGGCCAGCATGCTGAAGGCTAGCCTGCAGGCGCACAGGCCTACTGTCGCGCGCGCAGAGGCTAGCCTACATGAGCGCAGAGCCTAGGCGCACTGGGCGTCACGCTCACATGCCTACTGTGCGAAGGCCCCAAGCGCATAGGGCCTATTTACGTAAGCCTGCTACACGGACGAAACGCGCACAATGTGCAGCGCCAGTCCGTGTGCGAGGTGATGCGCGCACGGCTCACCTGCGCGCAACAGGACGCACGTGAAGGTCCTGACCTCGCGTCATGCTCGCAGATGGGACGCGCGTGCTGGGCGCATGTCCCGTGCGTGCGTGCATGCGGAGGGGACGTGCGCGTTGTGGGCACATCCTGTGCGTGTTGGCGTACGAATGGGACGTGCGCACTGTGCGCACACCCCGCGGCCACTGTGCGGGCATGTACGCGCACGCAGTGCCCAGCACCCACGCGGGCAAACCATCATCTTGTTGGATTTTTTTCGCGGGCAGTTTTTTCCCATTTTGTCGTTTTCTGTTTTTTCTAATTTTTTAATTTAAATTAAAAATAAAATAAAATAAAATAATTTAAAATACATAAAATAATTTTAAATAAAATAAAATAAAAATTAATAAAAATAAAATAAATCAAAATCACGAATCATGGGTAATGTTAAACAGCATAAATTTATTAAGTTTAAGG